TTCCCTTCCCTTCCCTTCCCTTCCCTTCCCTTCTAATTATTTTCTCTATTCTATTCTGTTCTGTTCTGTTCTGTTCTATTCAGCTTTGGCCCATTTTACAACCTTACTTGCCATAGTCGTTAAGCGAATTCCTGCAGTTTTTAAGATAATAACATGGCTGTTAAGTGACTCTGGCTTGCCCATTGACTTTGCTCGTCAGGAAGTCTCAAAAGGGGATCACATGACCCCGGGAGACCGCAACCGTCATAAATATGAGTCAGTGGCCAGTTGTCTGAATTTTGATCAAGTGATTAGGGGGATGCTGCAATGATCATAAATGTGAAAAAGTCCCTTTTTTTCAGTGCTGTTGTAACTTTGAATGGTCACTAAATGTTGTAAATTGTGGATTACAACATGTAGAGTTATTGTCCAATTGTACCTATCAGGAGGAAGTACAGGTAGTCCTTGGCTTACAACAATTCGTTTAGTGACCGTTCAAAGTTAAGAACAGCAATGCAGAAAGTGACCTATGTCTGTTTTCACTCTTACAACCTTTGCAGCATCTCTGTGATTGTGGGATCAAATTTCAGATGCTTGGCGACTGTTTCATATTTATGACGGTTGCCGAGTCCTGGGGTCATGCAGATCCCCTTTTGCGACCATCTGACAAGCAAAATCATCGGGGAAGCTGGATTCACATAACAACTGGTATTACTAATTTAACACCTTCAGTGATTCACTTAACAAATGTGGCAAGAAGGGTTGTAAAATGGGGAAAGAAGTCACTTAACAAATTTCTCCCTTAGCAACATAAATTCGGGGCTCAGTTTGGGGGTGGGTGGGTCGTACATTGAGGACTACCTGTTTTCCCCTGAGCTCCATCTAAAAGAATTAAAACATGCACCCATTTCCACCTGTGGTGCTGCCACTTCTCCCCTTCCCAACCAGCAATATTTGTTCTCCCCCAGGTGTGAGACGTCAACTCCACACCAAAACTTGCCGGAACTGGCAAGCCGAGCGTGAATCGGTCTTCGAACCTGTAAAAGTTAGGAACTTTATTCTAACTTCATTCTAACCTTTTCTGGGTTACCTCTAATTCCCCTTGCGCTTTAATTCAGGTGGGGAAAAGTTTGCTGAGTTACAGGGAATTCTGGGAAGTGAAGTGTACGTATCTTCAAAGTTGCTAAGGTTAAAAAAGAAGCACTGGATTAGACATTAGGAGGAACTTGACAGGAAGAGCGGTTTACTAGTGGAACATGTTAACTGCTTGGAATGGTTTCTTCCCCTTTACTGGAGCTTTTCAAAGAGACGGCTGGATCGTAATCTGTCTGAGGTTGGTGTAGGGCAGTATTTCCCAATCTTGGCAATTTGAAGATGGGTGGACTTCGATTCCCAGAATTCCCCTGTCAGCGTGCTGGTGGGACAATTCTGGGAGTTGAAGTCCTCCCGTCTTCAAGCTGCTATGGTTGAGAATGGCTTACTATCGAGCAGGGGTGTCAAACTCAAGGCCCGTGGGCCCATGAGGTGCTAAAACCTGGCCCGCGAGGGTGGCCTGGAAATAGCAAAGGAGCCTCTGGTGGCTCTGCTAGCAAAAACACAGACCCCGGTGCCCTGTTTTGGTCAGCAAAATGCTGCAGGAAGTGTCCATCCATCTCCCTCCCTCCCACCCACTCAGTCGGCCCGCGGAGGAAAACTAGAATGCTGATCCAGCCCTCAAAGAAATTCAGTTTGACACCCCTGCTATCGGGGGTTGAACTTGATAACCTCTTAGGTCCAGGGTTGGGCTGCTGGGGGCTTGCAGGGGCTCAGGAGATCCCCTAGCTAAGATTTGGCGGGGATCAGAGAGCCCCCAATAACCTCAGAAAGACAAGCAGCAAGGAAAAGCTCTTAATAGGCTTAATTGAACTTCTGGGCGTTCAGCCAAGAGCATTTCACACCTCGTAAAAGTGTGGCAAACTAGATAAACAATCCACTCAACAGCTTGCAAGGGAAAGCCATTGAGCAAATCAGATAACATAGCCACTAGCCTCTGAGGGGATTAATTCCCAAATAATAAGAATCACGTAACTCACCGGAAACTCCACTGAGACTCCAAGATCCCTCTCACAGTCACTGCTATTAAGCCTGGTTTCACCCAGTCTTTTATTTAAGTATTAAATGCACAAAATGATAAACAACTTTTTGGTATATATCTTTTTTTAGGTAATTACGGGCATAGAAGCCACGTCGAGTTGGCCACACCCACCCAGTCCCATGACCACCCAGCCATGCCCACCCATCCAGTCATTAGGGCAGAGAGAGCCCCTTGCTAAAATATTTTGAAGCCCACCCCTACTTAGGTTCCTCCTGTGATTCTAGGAGATCTAGAGGGATACCCCACTGAGGTAACTCCCTGTTTATAATTGGCAATAAATCCGAAATTGAATGTAAGATGTCTGCATTTTGCACCCCTCCAAACAGAGGCACTTATACCGAATCCAACAATTTATCCGAGCAGGAATTTTTCTAGCCCAGCTTGAAAGTGTATTGCAAAGAGACTGATGGTTTGGCATCCAAAGTGCAAGGAACCCAAAACAGCCCTTTGTAAAGATCCTAATATTTTTGTAAAAGCTTTTTTTTTAAAATCTACTCTTTGATTATAGCCGATGGCTTTTCAATTGAAGCACAGCAGAGGTAATCCTGCTTTTGCAAGATCCTTTTTTACGAGGGAAGTTGATCTCATGCCAAGGTTACGCAACGTCCGGCTATACACACCCCCAAAGCAATAGGGCCCCAGGGAAAATAGGTTATTTAAATTCCTTTCCTGCACTGTTAAATGAAATTCCAAGGAAAATATGCAGGTACTCCTCGACTGAACAACAGCTCATGTCGTTCAGACTTACGGCGATCAAAATTTGGATGTTTGACAACTGACTCGTATTTGTGACGGTTGCAATGTGAGCTTCCGATGAGCAAAATCGGTGGGGAAGCCAGATTTACTTAACAACCTCATGACTATCTTAACATCTGCCATGATTCGCTTAACAACGGTGGCAAGAAAGGTCGTAACACGGGGCAAACCTCACTTAACAAACATCGCACCGACCCACAGAAATTTTGGGCTCAATTGTTGGTCGTCAAGTCAAGGACCTACCTGCAGTCCATATGGTAACATACTCCATTTTCTTCTTTTGTCTGATTAAAAATCAGAATTGTAGGTCTCTGGAGTTATTCCCAAGGTGGTGGAGATCCTTATTCAATGCTGGGGCCCGAGCTTAAAAAACTTCTGGTTCGCTTAGAAGTCTAAATAAACCTGACTTATATCTTATTAAAAAAATAAAAAAAGTTTTGCCCCAATGCTGTTAAATGATTCAACCTTTGCAATTTCAAGACCTTGTGGAACTTCAACTCCCAGGATTCCCTTGTCAGCCTGTCTGGCTGGGGAATTCTAGGAATTGAAGTCCCCGCTTGCCAAGGCAGAGCTATTCGTTTGTACACGTTCACGGTTCATGCAAACGATGCTTATCATCATTTCTCTTCTGCAGTTATTGGAACCATTCATCACTCTTTTTTTTTTTCCCCGTTTTAAGTTCCTTTCTTCTGCTTTAGGTTCACCGAGGACTCAACCTCAGGTTAGTTCAGGTCAGGGCATGAAGCTTAGCTCCCTTCGGTCCCGGTTTTGAATTCTGCACCTCGTGGTTTCTTGTTTTTTTTTTTAGGGCTGGTTTCTCTTTTGGTCAGCTTTTCGGCAAGCCTCGTGACCCTTCTAATTTTAACCTATTTTGCCAGGCCGGGGGGTGGGGATGTCTGAAACAAATAAAGCGGGGGGGGGGAACCCCTGAACTTTAAGAAGTCCAGAGTCTTATGGCGGAGGGAGAGAAAAGAGAGCAGCTGAGAATTGAAGCTGGCGAAGGGGACAAACTTCTTGCTTCCCGCCTCTCTTTTTATTTTTTTATTTAATTCCAGCCCTCGGGTGCATATCTGCCGTGTTTACAGTGGCTCTGTGGTTTAAATTACACAGCAGTACAGTAATTCTGTGCTCATTGCCAGTAATTTCACTGACTTACCAAGCAAGCTTTATTTCCTGAAAATCAGGCGGGCAGGGCTTAGAGGAAGAGCGCGCCCATCCCCTTGATGACTAAACCAATCACTACCAGCAGAGAATTTGCTTCTCTTCTCTTCTCTCTCTCACTATCTTTTAAGTGGTGGTGAACTGGTGGGGAGAGAAGAACCGGCTTTCTCCCAACCTGGCTTGAAATTGGAATCTTCCCTTCCTCCTCCTCCTCCTCCTCCTCCTCCTCCTCCTCCTCCTCGTCTCACTACCACCATCTCTTTCTCCGTCCCGTCCCCCCTTAAGAGCCCTTCTTGGTGTGTCCTTTCTCTTTCGAAGTCCATGCCAGCTCTTCAGGCTCCGTGGCTCTTTTGGGGCTGGACCCTGACACGCGAGCTGTCATGAGTTTAGCTTCGACAACTTTCACGGTAGGAAACCTCTGCTTAAGCCACTTTGCCGCGGAGTCCAGCCTGCGCCCGTTTTCATTGCACGCTGGCTTAACATGTCCCAGGTGCAGTTTTGGCTGAAGTACGCTTCGCTCTTCAAGGTAATTTTGTTTCCCCCCCCCCCAACCCTCCCTCCCCGTTGAAGGAAGAAGGATGGATGAGCTGTTTTGTCTTTTCTTTAGAAGAGGGGGGGGGTAGGTTGGAGGGGAAAGGCGGGCGTTGAAGCTCTGAATTCGCCGTTCGCTTTTGTTTCTTTGAGAAATGGCAGGTTGGGCTCTGCCTTGACATGGCCAAGGGTCTCCGGTCATCAACTGCTCAAAATGTTGGAAGGGAAAAAAAAACAACGTTTTCTGCCAAGGGTTTTTTTTTTGCCATTGGTTTTATTTGGTGAAGAAGTCTTGGAGAAGAACATGGCCTTTTTTCTTTTTCTTTTTTTCTTTGGTTCTAAAAAAAAATTGGCCAGGAAACCAGCAAGGTTGGTTTGTTTTCTGAAATATTTTTTTCCCCCCTGGAGCTAGGATTAAATGAAACTCTGCATCAGGAAAAAAAAAAAAGGGCCCAAAAGCTGTGCGCGCTGATTGTTTGCTTCTCTGATTCCCATGGCTTTAGATAAGGCCTTCTTCTCCCCAAAATTTCAGGGGGCTCTTCCAAAGTTCTTCCATGTGTGATGGGATAGAGGAAGGAATTGGAATGATTTGAAATGAGGAAGGTTGTAAAAATACCCTCGACTTCAGTTTGCCTTTCTCCAAAACTTTTGCCTATATAAAATCGGTATATATTCAAATCAGCTGCTAAGCATTGTTACATTAGAGTATTTTTATTGTCTCTTTGCATGTCATCAGGGAATGAAAGGCGTGATGCCAATACATTATTCCCCTTTTATTTCCCTTGGTTGCTGCTGTAAATTAGTGGGGTGTGCTTATATCTAGAGCACCATTTCAGATATATTCATACCGAAACTCTGATTCAAATAATAATGCAGAACCTGGTGAAATAACGTACAATTGGGTGTCATAAAAAACAAACAGATGCCAATCCTTGTTTTATCCCAGTCTCATCCCTACCTCTTAGCCTGGTCCACCTTGCAAGACTGTTGTGAGAATAAAACAGGATCTCTTGCTGCATGCATTGGATAAAAAGGATGAGAACTATAAAAATTGGGCAGAAGGATTTTGATCTCGAAATACTAGTTAAAGCGGGGGTTTTCAACCTGGGGGTCTGCTGATATCTGGGAGGGGAGGTGCAATGTCACAGGGTGTCTGCGAATTGTTCATTAATTCTGGTGCTTTAAATCTTGAGTTAAGTCTTGGGGGTCCGTGACCATAGTCCGTGGCCACAAAAGGTATTTAATGGGGGTCCGTGATGAAGAAAAAGTTAAGAACCTCTTAAGTTAAAGCATCCCTTGGAAAGTGTTGTTAATAACTTGTCAACTAACTAAAAAGTTAACACTCTTTGTTAAAAAATAAACAGCATAAAAACAAAAGCTGATGAATTAACTGATGAATTATTCTGTACAGAATAATAAAAACAAGGACAAATAGGCTGAAAAACAGCTACTATCTCAGGGGAGTAGCTCTGTTGAATTCTACAATATTAATGCAATATCAGGGGTTTTCAATTCAACGAGTGAAGGATGTGTGTTTGTGTTTATTTTCATGGTCCTGATGTGCACTGAAAATGGTGCTTGATTTCATTATACAAGGTGCAATGACAATAAAGTAAACTAACTTCCAGTTAGAAGTGTTAAAGCTGGTTTTAGAGAAAGCAGATTAAAAAGAGAACTCAGCAGAGAAGCCGCTTCTCTTAATTTAGGCTAACTTTGATTTAATTTCTGTAAAAACGATGCAAGGCTTAAATTGCTTAGATCTGAAGGAGGAGAAAGGCACGATCAAAAGGCATTCTCTATTTCTTGTTCCTTGGAGGTTTACATAATTAACAGGATAACTGTGATTATCTTTAATAGCCGCTTGAAGCCTCTCTCTGGCCAGGAGCAGCACACAAGTGTTGTTTCTAGCACGTGTTGGAAACAGAGTTCAGCCGCGGCAGTAGTAATTTGCTATTAAATGTTGCTCTCTGCACCCCTGCGTCTTTCTTAAATCCCTTGGAACAGGTGCAGGCTGCGATCTCTGCGAAATAGCAGCTTGCATCGGAAAGAATGTCTTTAGCTAAAGTCTCCTAATACGAAATTATTTCAATCCTTTGGCTCGGCCGAAAAGGACTTGGCAGCAGAGATGGAAATGTGCCTTTTCTCGCCTCGACCTCTTTCCTAGTTAGTAAGAAGTCTCCCAATTGCTCACCGATTTCGGCAGCCAGCACCTCTGGAGTTTCCTATGAATTTTTACCCAGTCAACCTGGCGTGCCCGCACCAAGCGTCTTGTACAGTGTTTCTTCAAGATTTCTCAGGCTGCAGTCTTGTCTGGGATGGGGGGAGAAAAATAGGAAGTTGTCCGGCGTGGGAAGCAGCCAGTCAGCATTTTTCAAGGAAGGATTTAAAACCCTGCTCTTTTTCCCCACTTCCCCCAAAGTGCTCCCTTTCCTGAATTTTCCTTCTAGTTTTGTTTTTTTCAACCTGGGGCACCCGATCATGGTGTTCTTGCTGTGACTAGCAACCAATATATTCTTGGAGAACAGTGCTAAGAAGGGTGAATTCCATCTTAATTTATTCTTAGGATGCTTTTGATGAGGATTCCTCACAGCTCCCAGATTACATGCCATGGAGTATTTGTAGGACTCTGTACATTACTAGCGTCAAACAACGGGATTGATTGATTGATTGATTCCACCCTTATGACAGTCCTTCCTTCCTTCCTTCCTTCCACCCTTATGACAAGTAGTCCTCGGCGTACAACCATAAGTGAGCGCAAAAAGTCTGTAGCCAAGTGAGACATTGGTTAAGTGAATTTTGCCCTATTTTATGACCTTTCTTGCCACAGTTGTTAAGTGAATCACTGCGGTTGTTAAATGGGTAACGCGATTGTGGAGTGAATCTGGTTTCCTCGTTGATTTTGCTGGTCAGAAGGTTGCAAAAGGGGATCATATGACCCCAGGGACACTGCGACCATCCATATAAACACAAGTCAGTTGCCGAGCATCCGAAATTTGACCGTGTGACCATGGGGGGATGCTGCAATGGTTGTAAGGATCCTTATCAAGAGAGGGAATACAGCATTTATTTATTACAGTATTTATTTGTAAATGTAGTATTTATTTATTTATTAACTTTTCAATTTATTTAGTCACATACTCAGCGCACAACCCAGGACAGCGTACGTCACTAAAGTATATTAATAATCCTACTTTCACTGAATGATAAATTCTTTCAAAATATACCAAGTTGGCATTGTATAGGGGTTTTTTTTTGTTTTTTTTAAAGGGTTTTCCATGCTTTCCAGCAGAATAATTCTCTCATTACTTCTTTGGAAGAATCGCTAATTAAATTAATCCTAACTCAATAAATTAAATTAAACTAAAAACCAATAATGAAACGTCCCATCCTTTTGCCCTTCCGCAAAGGCCTTAAAACCTGGCTCTTTTGATTGGCCTGAAGCCCAGACGGAGACGTAGGTCATCTTGGGATTGGTCGTTAGTGGATTAGAAAATCCCACCTCCTCTCTATTGTATATCCCTGCCCCCAGCACGTTCACTACTTCTTTGCTAATTTTAATGTGTATTTACTATCTTACAGTTTTCATTCTTTTACAATATCAATTTATTGTAAGCCGCCCACAGCCGCAGGAGAGCAAAATGGCAAGCAAATAAATTTAATAAATAAATAAATTCTGGGACTATGTTTCCACCTCAAGAATAACCCCATAAAAAACTAAATCGGATGTGGAATTCAGCTTTGTGTCACATCCGAAATTTGGGGTTTCTTATCTGTGGAATGATCAATAACTTTTACTGCTTGATCTCACGCACTGTTTACAGTTTACTGTAGCTTTGTTAGCGATGAACTGCAGGAACTGAGTGTGTTCAGTTTAATGTCCAGTAAGGATAACTACCCGTACCTTTCGTTGTTCTCCTAGTTTCTCTATATTTCCTAAACACATTCCTATGTCTGAATTTTGATTACATGACCATGGGGATGTTGCAACTGTCATAAGTGTGAAAAACGGTCATAACGGTGCTCCATTTTACAACTTTTCGTCACTTTTGTCAGTGCAATTGTAACTTTGAACAGTACTAAATGAACTGTTGTAAGTCGAGGAGTACCTGTATTTACAACAGTTTGTTTAATGACTGCTTGAAGGTATAGCAGCTCCTTAAAAAGTGACCATTTTTCACACTTACGACAGATGTAGCACCCACCCATGATCACGTGGTCAAAAGTCAGATACTTGTCAACTGACTCATATTTGGTACCAATAAATATTGGTAGCTCAGGGTTGAAATGAGGGGTCCTTGGTGCTCCCTGAGTTTGCACCAAGGACCCCTGGCTCATATTTATGATGGTTGCAGGGTTCCGGGATCATGTGATCACATTTTGCGCTCTTCTGATGAGCAAAGTCAATGGGGAAGCCAGATTCACTTAACAACCAGGTTACTAACTCCACAACTGCAATCATTCACTTAACGACTGTGTCAAGAAAAGTTGTAAAATGGAGCAAAATTCACTTAACAAACGTCTCACTTAGCAACAGAAATTTTGGCCTCAGTTAAGGTCATAAGTAGGGGACTATCTATATTTTAAGCATCGTCACAGATTGTTTGGCAAGACAATAGAGAGGATTGGCAAGTTTACTACGAAGAACACAACAGCTAGTCCTCAACATAGAACTACAATTGGGACCTGAATTTCCATCCCTAAGCAAGATGTTATCAAGTGATTCACACCAGATTTTTATGATCATTTTGCCAAATTGCTGCAGTTGTTAAGTAAATGATGTTGTCATTCAATGCATCTGGCTTTTCTTCCCATTGTCTTTGCTTGTTGGAAACCAGCTGGGAAAGTCACAAACATTGATCACATGACCCTGGGACCCTGCAATCATTATAAATATATGTAATAGCAGTAGCACTTAGACTTATATACTGCTTCACAGTGCTTTACAGCCCTCTCTAAGCGGTTTACAAAGTCAGCATCCGCAACAATTTGGATCCT